CCCTCCTCCAGTGCTGCATTGTTGCAGTTGGTAAACCTACCTTGGACACATCGTGTCACTGAGTACACAGTTGACATTAGGGTTCATTCTCTTTTTTTTTGGGGGTACCAGGGATCGAACTTGGGACCTTGTGTTTGCGAGGCTGGCAGCAGAACCACTGAGTTTAATCCCTGGCCCTAGGGTTCATTCTTGATGTTGCACATTGTGTGGTTTTGGACAAATAGACAATGACATTTATCCATCATTGTAGTATCAGAGTAGTTTCTCTGCTCCCAAAATCCTCTGCTCTGGTTCCTCTTTTCTCCTGCCTCCTTAACTCTTGTCAACCACTAATGTGGTTGTGTGCTGTCTCCACACAGTTTAGCCCTTTCCAGAATGTAATATACTTTTAATCATGCAGTGTGTAGTTTTTAGAGGTTGGCTTTCTTTTACACAGTAATAGGTGCTTAAGACTCCTTCATGTCTTTTCATGGCTTGATAGCTTTTAAAAAAAATTGTTGAGTAATATTCCATTGTCTGGATATACCAGTAAGTTTATCACTTACTGAGGGACATCTTGGTTGCTTTCAAGTTTTGGCAGTTACAAATAAAGCTGCTGTAAACATTTGTATGTAGGCTTCTTTTGTTTTTTTTGTTTTTTTTTTGAGACAGGTCTTGCTGTGTAGCCCAGGCTGGCCTCAAACTCACAGTGATCCTCCTGCCTCAGCCTCCCAAGTGCTGGGATTACAGCTGTGCATCACCACACCCAGCTTGTATGTAGGGGTTTTTTTTTTGGTACCAGGGATCGAACTTGGGACTTTGTGCTTGCGAGGCAGGAGGTGGAACCACTGAGCTAAATACCTGACCCATATGTAGGTTTTTGTGTGGATATTTTTCAGTTTATTTGGGTAAATTCTAAATTTTGTAAGAATCTGGTAAACTGTCTTCCAAAGGGGTAGTACCATTCCCTCCAGCAATCAATGAGAGTTCTTGTTGCGGTCCCCTCACAACCCCCCCAAAATACTTGGTTGCTCAGTGTTTTGGATTTTGGTCGTTCTAATAGATGTGTCCCTTCCTCTTTTCAGGGCCCTTTTGATGTTGCCCGGAAAGTATTTGCAGCTGGAGAGGAGACTGCTCATATGTCACTGATGGACAAATCGGATCTCTTTTTTCATGACTATTCGATTGCACCCCTCTTTGTCCAGGAGAACTACCTCCATGTAAAGCCTGTAGCTGCAGGGTGAGCACTCAGACATGTGAAGAGGATTACTACCCTCCCAGCACTGTGAAGGCCAAATGCTTGGCGGGGAGCAGCCAGGGCTGGGTTAGCCGTGTAATACAGTTTCGTTCTTTCTTGCAGGGGTGACATGAAAAAGCACTTGATGCTCTTGAGCCGAGCAGCAGATAGCATATGTGATGGGGACCTAGTGGACAGCCAGATCCGGAGCAAGCAGAATTGGAGTCTTCTGCCCACACAGGTAAGCCAAGGACTTGCCTCGAAGTGTGGATGCTGCTTTGGCTGAAGAGATCAAAATATATTTTGGCTCCTGTAATTACTTAAAATACCAGATGAGCATTATGGCTTTTGTGGCAAAACAAAAAACCAAAAAACAACAACCCCAGTCTCTTGCAGATGAAAATATCCTGTGGTTAGTTTATTAATCTTGCTTATTTTTCTACTGTTAAAAAAAAAAAAATTCTGTTTAGATGGATATATGGAAATAGGAAGGCTAGATGTTGCCTGTAATGAAAGATGTGATTCGGAAGTTTGATTTGCTGGCTTTTACCTTAATCCATTCTTTTCTTTTTGGTCATTTGTGGTTCTCCCAGGGTCACTAGATAGCTAAATGCAGCCAGGGCAGGCCTCTAATTTTCCTCTTTGCTAAAGGAAACCAGAATCCCTATATTACATTGAGTACTGCATTTACAGTGGGTACTTGCTTATGTTGATAGCATAAAGTGAAAACAGAATTTGGCAGACATTTATATTTAGGAGTGTTGTCTAGTTTTTTGTATTTATATAGTATTAGTGGCCCGAGCATAAGCAAGGAATTTTCAGAAGCCCTACCTTCTTCTTAATTTTACCTACACATTGGTTCAAAACAAAAGCAAAAACAAAATACAAAGACTCATTCTGGAGATAAAGAATTTTTTAGGTTTTAAGAATGTTTATTTTTCTTGGGCTGGGGATGTAGCTCAGCAGTAGAGTGCTTCTTAGTGATACTGGGTTCAGTCCCAGTATCACACGCAAAAAAAGAAAGCCAAACATTTATTTTTCTTAATATTTATTACTTTGAGAATTTATCCTAAAGAAATTGTGCTTAATATATATAAATATTCCCTAAAGTACATTCATTCTCAGCAAAAACTGGGAGAAAATCTCCATGTCCAGCAACAGGAATAGTGATTGTCATAATAAATTTTCTTGGTGAAATATTTAGGACCATTTAAAACTATTTGTAGAGGTAATCTAATATGAAAAAATACTTAAGAGAGAATATTACTAGAACAGGATATAAAATTGGTATAGAGTAAAAGTCCAGCTTTTAAAGAAACAAAAACCTTGGCCATAAAAGACATCTGAAGATACTTTTTAAAATTTTTCTCAGGCCAGAGAATTCTCTAATTATTAGACTTCATATTTTAAGCTACTTCTGCTTTCGGTTGCGTATGTGAGAGACAGTTGCATTTCTCTGAAGCTGATTCTGTCCTGTGACATTGGCACCTGTGAGGTAACAGGTGTTGTGATCCCCTGGTTGAGAATGTGAGATGGTTTCCTTGTGTGAGGGCCATGGTGCTTTTGTCCTAGGTGTTGATTGCAACTCAGTTTTCCCGAGTTGCCCACACTACCTGTCAGAGGCAGGATCTGACTGCCCTGTAATTAGGTCCTCAGGGCAACATTGCTTCATTTGCCATGGACCGTGAATTAGTTCATTTTTGGTTGCTACTAATGCAGTACCACAGCCTGGTTAAGTTTTAATGAAGAGAGATTTATTTAGCTCACAGTTCTGGGAGTTCGGGGAACCACATGGCAAGAGGTGGAGAAGTGTATGTGCCTGTGTGTGTATGGTTTATATGCTCATGTGTGTTTGATGTCTCCCCTCTTCATTTTTCTTTCTTTTTTTTGAGACAGGGTCTTGATATATCTCCCAGGCTTGCTTTAAATTCATGACCCTCCTGTCTCAGCCTCCGAAGTGCTGGCATTACAGGCACGTGCCACCACACCTGGCTTCTGTCCCCTTCTTCTAAAGCCACCAGGACTCCATCATGGGGAGAGTCTGCCTTAATGACCTTACCTAACCCAGTTCACTTTCCATACCCCCCAGATCCACACACTATAGGTGAATTGAGTTTCCAGCCCTTAGTGTCTCACGGTGGGATTAAATGTTAGCACAAGAGGGCTTCGAGACACGTGTACATTATATCTAAAGCATAGCAGCCTCCATGGAAGCCAACAGCTACTACAGAAGAGACTGCACTGAATTCAAATTCTGAACTGCCACTGATTTTTTTTCCAGGCCATTTATGCCAGTGTTCTTCCTGGAGAGTTGATGAGGGGGTATATGACCCAGTTTCCCACCTTCCCGAGCTGGCTGGGGAAGCACTCATCCACAGGCAGACATGACCGAATCGTGCAGGACCTGGCATTGCACATGAGTCTTAGGTAAGTAGAGTCATTCCATTTCTGGCATTTTATTGGTGGGGTATTAACCTTTATCCAAAAAAGGATAGCGTGAGTCTAAAGATTTATGTTTTAGGTTTGATTTTACTGTTAACTGAGAAATGGTCCTGGACAAATTCCTTATATTTTGTAGGCCTGAGTTTTATCACCTGTAATCCTCTTGAGAGGATTTTGGACAATAAAGCCAGATGATAGATGTGTCGTAGCTTTAAGATATCTTATAAAAAGTGTACATATCTGAGGTAGTGCTATTATTTATTGTTATTGTGACTGTGCCTATTACTAATGGGAATAACTTCTCAGCTGCTGAATAATTAGTTGGAAAAAATGGAACTGTTTGAAGAAGGGAGCTAGTTTTTACTTCAGTAGTAAACTGACCTAGTCATTTGAGATGGGAAACACAGGCTAGTAACAGGAGGAGGCCACTCAGATCCTGGAAAGAAAAATAATGTACTGGGAAAAGTTTGAAGAAGCTCAGAAATACTTGTGTTTGGTACAGTTTTGTTAAAGTTTAGAAACTTACAAAATGTGCATGCAGCAAATACTAAGTAAACTTTAAGGATTCATTTATGACCATGCGAACTACCTGAGCAATCATAATTTCCACTTCTGATCCCTAGAATATTAATTTGGTTCCCAGATTCACACATAACTTTTGGTTAAAGCTGAGATAGTTCCTTTCTTCTTTTTGTAAAATTCTTCTCCCTGCTAAGTTCCTTCTTCTCAGCCTTTGAGATGAGTCTTTTTTCCAATCATTAGGTTAGTTTTTGGTTGCTGCTCTAATGAATTATCACAACAGAAGGGCTTAAAACAATACAAATTCATTGTTGTCTTGAGATAGGAAGATGATCCTGGGTTATCTCAGTAGGCCCAGTGTCATCCAAGGGTCTTTATAAAAGGGAGGTGGCAGTGGCAGAGTCAGAGTGGGCAGAGGGAGACAGGGAGGGAGAGATGCAGCTCTGCTGGCTTGGGAGACGGGGAGGGAAGCATCAGCCAAGGAGTGCAGGCAGCCCCTAGAAGCTGGGAGAAGCTGCTTCTCCCCACTGCTCTCAGGGTCCAGCTGGCACTGCCTCTCAGCTCCTTCCTGCTCCCTGTCCACTGCTGTTTGAAGGTCATGCTCACTCGCAGGGTCACCCATCCTGTTGCCCTCCATACTACATGAAGATTTTGAGCCCTTGACTTCCATATTGTTTATGGCTTACTCATTCTCCCCAGACTGAACCTTTCTGGGGATAGGAACTGAGACTTACTCATCTGGCACATAAAATTGCTCATTAAGTGTTGCTTAATGGATCACGTACAGGGTGTTATTATCAGCATGGACATAGATAGTGAAGTTCATGATTTTTTGGGCAGGTTAGTGTCTTAGTTACTTTCTTGTTGCTGGGACAAAATACCTGACACTCAGAAGTTGGAGGAGGAGATTTTTTTGAGCTCACAGTTTATAGAAGTTTCAGCCCACAGTTGGCTGGCTCCACGGCAAGGTGGCACAGCCGAGGGGCATGGTGGAAGAGAAGCAGTCCATGGCATGACAGGCAGGAAGCAGAGATTCTTTCTCTTTTTATTCCACCCAGGCTACAAGCCTATTGGTTATTGCCACCCACACCCAGGATGGGCCTTCCCTCCTCAGTAAATCTATTACTCATATCCAGAACTATGCTAAACCCATCAGTGGACTAATCCATTATCACACCCATGACCCAGGCACCTCCCCAAAGCCCCACCTATGAGCACATGAGGCTTTGGAGGACACCTAGATACAAGCCATAACATTAGGACCTTCCAACTTTTTTTTTTTTGCAGTGCTAGAGATTGAACCCAGGGCTTTTTGTGCATGGTAGGCAAATGATCTACCACTGAGCTACATCCTCAGCCCTTTTTGTTTTTTTGTTCCTACTTAACTTTTTAACCCTAATCAAATCAGTAAATTTCTAGAGGCCTTGGTTTCTCTTCCTCTTTGAAAAATGAAAGTATGATTTTGATTCTTTTGGGGATTCTTAAGTGTCTTTGAAAATCTGAAAGCTTTGATCTTTCTTCCTCCCAAAATGCACAATGCTTAAATAACACAATTTTAAGGTAATTACAGATTCCTGAAGTTAAGAACCCTTGTTTTAGGTACATTAGATGGCACCTTTAAACTTTGCCAAATTCAGTGTTGTCTGTATGAGATAAAGTGCAATATAATTATTGTGGAACTGTTTTGTGATCTTCTTGGGTTCTGTGGCTTAGGGACTTACACTCCATCTCTTCAAGTACTACTGTTCGTGATGATGGAAGACTATATCTATAGGAAATGAGTGCCTAGGTAATGAAACAGTCTCGAGGTTCCAGATTTGTGATGGAGAAAGAATGGTGTGGCTTCTTGAGGTTCAGACAGTTACCCGAAGACAGGAGCAGGAGCCATAGGTGATTTTTATTTTTTATTTTTTATTTTTTTTTGGTACTGGGGATCGAACTTGGGTCCTTGCACTTGTGCAGCAGGCGGCGAAACCACTGAGCTAAATCCCCGGCCCCCATAGGTGATTTTTAAAGAAACGAGAATCAGGGGTTCTGATACCAGCAGCTTTTGAGGTGTCTTGTTTAAAGTAAGAATATTTATCTTTGCCTGGATTGAAGATGGAGGCAGCTAGGTTGAAAAGATTTAGGATGGTGGCATTTGAAGTACTGATTTGTACAGTTATTTCTGTTTTGAAGACAGCAGCATGAGAGAGACAGAGACAGAGATAGGGAGGGAGGGAGAGCGCATTTGCTGGTGACATCTAGTTTTGAGCAGGTCAGCCTGTTCCCTGTCTTCCCTTGGCCAAGGTGGATCACTTTGATTCTTTTTTTTGGGGGGGGACTAGGGATCGAACTCGGGACCTTGAGCTTGCAAGGCAGGCTGCAGAACCCCTGAGCTAAATCCCTGGCCCTGATTCTGCAGGAACATGGTCTGCGGTTTTTTAGGTTTGGGGAACTCTCCTCTTGAAGTGACGATTTTAGAGTGTAGGTATGAGCAAGTGTGAGCAAGGCACTGATATGCCATTTTGTACGTTATAATCTGAAACCAGAAAGCATTGCGCCCAGATTGGAAGTGGTGGTGGCACTTGAGGTACTGATGCTTCTAGTATTTTGGAACTTGGAGTGAGTACTCTTTATGGATAGATCAGAATGAGCATAGAGAAATACTGCTGTTGCCTTGAGGCGGGTAGCAGCCATGTTTACTTTTCCACTCGCTGATCCAGGGAGGTAGGAAACAGTCTTGTGCACAGTGATGTGCGCCCATTACCCTGAGGTGGTGTGCTGGGCTGCCCCCACCTCCTGTTAAATTGTAGGCCTTCCAGGGAGCATCACTAACCTTGCATCGGAGACCTCCTGATGAATCAGTGTTGATGTGTGTGCTGGCCTGAGTTGGCGACATAGTTTTACTGTTGACTGCAGGTGCGTCTTTTGTTTTGGCTTTCAGAACTTACTCCAGCAAAAGGACTGTGAACATGGATTACCTCTCGCACATAAGAGACGCACTTGTCCAGCCCTTGACTTCTCAAGGGGTAGAAGGAGTACAGGATGTGGTTGCACTTATGAACACATATTATTTGATGAAAGAAGACTTTGAGAATATCATGGAAATTAGCAGCTGGGGTGGTAAACCCAGTCCTTTTTCCAGACTGGATCCCAAGGTGAGCTGTGCCTTCCGCTGGTTCTCTGTCACTTCATGATGACCAGATTGGGCCTAGCAGTGCTGCAGGGTTGTTTCAGGGCCTTTAAAAAGGTTTACGTCTCCCCCGTAAGTGCTTGTTGCTTCTCATGGCCTTTGCTTTCCAAAGGTCATATTTGAGTACAGTGAAGACACAGTGCTATAGGCCTCCCCTACTGGACACGATACCAACCCCCACAACTGAAAGGAGCAGGCGCACGGTCTCAGTCCATGGTTGGCAGGCTCCATGCAGAAACAGGATGGCAGAGAGGCATGGCAGAGGAAAAGGTGCTCAACCCACGGCAGCCAGGAAGCAGGGAGGGAGGAACAGGGGACAGGAATACACCCTTCCAGGTCAGGCCCCCAGTGACCTGCCCTGAGCAGGCCCCACTACTGACGGCAGGTCAGCTATGAACTCATCAGTGCACTAATCCACTGATAAGTATGGCACTCCCTGGATCCAGTCACCTTCCACACACATGCGGGGGACATTTTAGACCTAAACCGTAACAGATGGCCGAGGCAGGAAGCTAACATGTTCAAGCCCAGCATGGGCGACTTAGTGAGAACCTGCCTCAAAATAAGAGAGGAGGAAGAAGAGGGAGGCAGGGGAAAGGGTGTATTTCTAGATTTGATAATTTGTGTTTGCATCTCTGATTCATGCTGAGTAGTGGAAAAGCAAGAATTCAAATCCGAGGAGCAAATATAATTAAGAGTAGAGGGATTAAGCTGGGGAAGTAAGAGGACTGAGGATTTTTGCCATTTTTAATCTGTGGATTCAGAGTTTATTCCAGTTGGATAATCTACTATGTAAAAGTGTGTCCCCTCTTTATTTGCATAACTCAAGTGATGTAACATGAAGGTGTAATATCTAGTACCTCATTCGTGGGCCAGTTTACTTGATGCTGCTTTAGAAGACATATTGTCAGTTTTTCTCCCTAGAATTTTGACTGGACTTAATGGTCATCAGTAAATTCTTACAGTAGACATCTACTGTTAGGCATTCCCAGGGGTCTAGAATTAGGGTTGGAAGCTTGAAGTTAGAGCTTTGTAAGTTACTTAGATTTTGAGGTAACTGGTATTATCACGGTAAAGGTAGCTTAGGTGTTTGGTAGTAAAGGCCAACTTGTACTTTATAATGAGTTTTTTTGTTTTTTATTTCTTAGACTAACTTTGCTTATTATTTCATAGAAATGTGCTGAATAGGTAAAAATATGACTTCAAGTGACTTTGTGTTTTTACTGGCCTAAAGTTCTCAGATACTGATTTTTAGTCTTTTTTGCATCATGGACCTTATTAAGAACGTCATGAAAAACACAGAACTTGTCCATAGAAAAGTGCATATACAGTACTGCCATTTACCTGTACATGCATAAATATGTTGCAGATAGTTTAAGGGGCTTCCAGCCTTTTCTTTCAAAGTTTTTAGGGTTATAAGTGTTTTGAAGAGTTGTGCAGGGCTTTTGATACAACTCAGGGATAAAGCACTTGCCTAGTGTGCATAGGGCCCAAATTCAATCCTCAGCACTGGAAAACAAATTGTTTGGCACTTAAAAGATTTTTAATTATTTCCTCTCTCCCTCTACTCCTTTCATACAGGTGAAAGCAGCCTTCACAAGAACTTACAATAAGGAGGCCCACCTCACCCCATATTCACTTCAGGTAATAAAGACACCAAGATCCAGTACAGGCCCGATGCTGGATTCTGACTACAATGAAGAGTTACATGAAGATGACTCCCAGTCTGATGAGAAGGACCAAGATGCTATAGAGACTGATGCTATGATCAAGGTAGTATTTTAAGCTACAGATAAGAGAGCCTCAAAATAGAC